AATACTATTTGTCAAAAAGAAAGACGGAAAGATGAGACTTTGTGTGGACTACAGAGCTCTCAATTCAGTTACCAAGAAAGACAGATATCCACTACCCTTGATTGGAGAAGCACTGGACAGACTGCTGTCAGCAAAATACTTTATCAAACTCGACATCAAGGATGCATACCACAATATTCGCATCAAGGCAGGAGACGAATGGAAGACTACATTCGCCTCAAGATACGGAATGTTCGAATACTTGGTTATGCCATTCGGGCTAACCAATGCATCGGCTTCATTCCAAAGATGGATCAACAAAGTACTCAATAAGTACCTCGATATATGTTACATCGTATACTTGGACTATGTACTCATATACTCGGAAAACATACAACAACACTAAAAGGATATCAGCAATATCATGGCCGCAATACAAGGATCAGGAATGAAAATCAAACCAACAAAGTGCGAATTCCATACGGAAGAAATGGAATACCTCGGATTTATCATCAATCGAAGTGGGGTCAAGGTCGACCCTGTCAAGACAGCAGCTATATGGGATTGGCCCAAACCAAACAACAAAACAGATGTTCAATGCTTTATTGGATTCTGCAATTTTTATCGACAGTTCATAGAGGGATTTAGCAGGCTTGCAAAACCACTCTATAACCTAACAAAGAAAGACAAGAAATGGGAATGGAGAGAGACGGAACAAAAAGCATACAATGCAATACGAATGCATCTAACATCAGCACCCATACTGGTTCATTTCAACCTAAACTAAAGAACAATGATTAAAACGGACGCCTCAAAATATGTGTGCTCAGGCATACTATCGCAACAATGCGACGATGGAAAATGGAGGCCAGTATCTTACCGATCCAAGGAAATGACCCCCGCAGAGTGCAACTATGATGTTGCAAACAAAGAACTATTAGCGATAGTTCAAGCATTAAAGGAATGGAGGAGATACGTTTTAAACAACGACCATCCCGTCGGAGCTCTAACCGACTACAAGAACTTGGTCCTGTTCATGACTTCAAAAGAACTGAACGACTGTCAGATAAGATGGATGGAACACCTCAGCAAATACAACTACAAGATCGAATACTGACCAGGCAAAGAAAGCGGAAAGCCAGATGCTCTCACAAGAATTGCGAGCGACAAACCACAAACGAAAGAAGACGAAAGAATCAGACAAAAAACATGAAACAAAACACTATTACCAAAAACCTACTTCGAGGCAATGGAGGTTATCCAATTCACATCAATGGAGGAAAAGGAAATTGAGAGCGCAAACAAGAAAGACAAAACAATTCACGCAATAAGAGAAGCATTGAAAGAAGGAAAAAAGGAGATGAAAGGAATTGCTCTGGGTTTATGCCAATGGAAGGATAGAAGTATGTGGTACGACAGAAAACAATAGATCCTGGAAGAGGAGGAGATAAGGACAGACATCATACGACAACACCACGATATCCAAATGGCAGGACATGGTGGAACGGCTAAAACCACGGAATTCATCACGAGGTTATTCTATTGGCCAGGACTGCGCAAACATGTCAAACGATATGTCAAAAACTGCGACATATGCCAAAGGACGAAAACAGCTAAACACACACCATATGGATTACTGAAATCAAACGAAGTTCCTGAACAACCATGGGAAACAATTACTATGGACTTTATCACGGACCTACCGGTATCAGAAAATTGCGATAGCATCCTAGTAGTGGTGGATCGCCTGACCAAAATGAGTCATTTCATTCCGGTCAGAAAAGATATCAACAGGAGGGATTTTATACAGACATTTTTGCGAGAGGTTTTCTGACTTCACGGCCTCCCAAAGAATATCATTACGGATCCAGGAACACTATTTACATTGGGACTATGGAAGATTGTAACTGGAGAAATGGGGATACAAAACAGGATGAGCACAGCGTTCCACCCACAGATGGATGGACAAACGGAACGGGTAAATGCGATACTCGAACAATATTTAAGGGCCTACGTCAATTATCAACAAGATGATTGGTACAAGCTGTTATCCATGGCCGAATTTGCATACAACAATGGAAAACAAGAAACAATCGGAACGACACCATTCTTCACTAATTACGGACAACATTCACAAAGTCAGACCACATATCATACGATTAATGATGTGATACTGGATAAAACCGATATGGGGAAACTACACGAAACATTACAATACGAAATGAGTCAAGCACAACAACAACAAAAGGAACAATACGATAAACACCGAAAACCAGATCTGAACATACAACCAGGAGATATGGTATGGCTAATACCACGCAATATCTATACTACATGACCATCAAAGAAATTGGACTACAAGAAAATCGGACCATTCAGGATATTGGAAAGAGTAGGCAGCTGAGCTTATAAACTCGACCTTCCCCCCTCAATGCGAATACACAACACATTCCACATCTCACTCAAATTACACAATGACAACAAGTTTCCATCACAAAGACTTATTCCTCCCTCTCCAATCGAACTCGACGGAGAACCAGAATACGCGCTCGACGAAATAGTCGATTCCCGCTTCTTTCACAGTCACCTCCAATACCGAGCCAAGTGGACGGGATATTCGCCTGAACACAATAAAACTTGATACTTCACACACAACTTTGAACACGCACAAGATGCCATCTCAACCTTCCACTAGCGATACCCAGGCAAGCCCGGCCTAGGTGACGATCACGTTCAACCAAGACAAAGGAGAGGGAAAGGCTCCCCCACCGTTACAACAACACAAGGGCTGGGGCGATAGCCCAGGCCAAACCATACCCACTAGCCCCGAATACTCATTCATGGGGCCAACAGACGAAGAACTCAAGGAAAGGGAAAAACAAGCACAGCATAACGTCATGTCATGGATGGTATGCTACAACGATGAATGTCCCACACACTACGGGGACAAGGAAGGCTCGGGATGGTTTCCGAAGGAATGTCAAAAGCGTGGCCCACGCCCGGACCACGTCCTGAAGCATTGGCAGCAATGCTTCAGAAATGAGTGCAGGATGCACAGGGCACAGAAAATATCTGCGGGATTCTACCCGCAGAAGGATGGAAGCAGGAAAGAGTTGGAAGGAGAGGATGCTAGAAAGTCAGGGGCTGCGTGGACACGGTCCAGGGAGGGAGGGGCCCAAATCTCCTCAGCTGATATGGAACTGGACGTCAGGAGCCTACACAGGCAGATCCGGGGACTCTGAGAACAACTTGGCCAAGCCGAGGCCACAATTTCGGCAAACAAAACGATCGCAGAGCTAAGACAGCTGAATCATAATCAGCGGCACATGATTGAGATGGCAAATCTGACCCTAGAATCGGTAAGGGTCAGATGGAGGATGGCAGACGAAAAGTTCTACAAGCTGAGAAGAACCATGCACTCGACAGGACAGGAACTATTGAAACTGGGAGAAAAAGCCTGATGGGACTCAGGCTTAGGAGGAGGGGAGCTAATGTCACGAACGTGGCTTAGCATGGAAAAGGTTTTCATGTGACACATGGTTATGAGTCACAGGTATGTTATTGTTTTGCACATATAACTCATTCGGGTTATATGATTTGTTATGTGTGGGATTTGTGATGCTTTTGCCCATGGCTCAAGTATGAGTCATAGGATGTATGCCTGGCAAGTATGCCTTGCGAGTGTGCCTTGCGGGTAAGCCTTGTGCATATGATTTATGTTTCACACATGACCTCATTATGAGGTCATGGGTTTCGCACATATGACTCAGTCAAGTCATATGACTTGTTTATTGCGTTATGATTGGTTTATGAGTTTTTGTACATGACCTCGCTATGAGGTCATAGGTTTTGAGCATGTGATCACTTTGGTCACATGGCTAGTTTGTTATGATTTAGTTTCGCACATGTGACCACTTTAGATCACATGACTACAGGCGGGAAGAATACTATATAAGGAGGCCGATGCAGCCGAGGAAGATAGGATCTTCATACTTTATTCTAAGTACTTTTCCTACTTATTACTTTAACGAATATAAAACAACTTTACGATCTTTATCCTTATTGCAACATTATTGATATGCCAAGGAGGGCTCTTCATGAAAAAGAGTTAGAGAAAACATACGATAGGCATTTCCAATAGAAGACAAATGTCTTGTACTATCGGTAACGTAGGCAGAGCCCTATAGCTATCGTAAGACAAAGAAAGAAAAGGAAAGAGAAGAGAAGTATCGTTCCCCATCACCAAGAACTAACCATACGAGAAGAGATCGTTACAACAATTCATACAAGCTACTTCCAATACCAGTATTTATCGATGACTACAATCAGCATATGGGTGGGGTGGACATTGCTGATCAACTACAAAGCTACTACTCTTCTCAATTAAGGGCCTGCCGAAATTGGCTCTTTTTTTTTTTTGGCTACTTGACACTTCCATTGTCAACTCCTATAGGATTATGAGAACCCTACATCCCAACCGGAAAGCACAAAGCCAGCACTTATTCTTCCGCGAAGACCTAGAGGACAAGTTAATCGAGATTGGATTATACAAAGGTGGATATACGGATGGTTCTAGCTCGGACCCAACACGCCATTCATCTACACGGCCAACTACACCCCCAACACCTCTGGCTAACAGCGAAAGGCCTACCCCTTACACTAGCCGAAATAGACCTCCACCTCAGCCCATTCTGTTTCCTCTCCCCAGTTCACATTTATATGAGCAATGCCCTACCCGAAGTCTGTGTCTCTGGTGCCGGTGGAAAAATAAAGCAGATAAAGGAGTTAAGATAAGGTCAATTAGTTTTGGTTGTCGGGAGTGTAATTATCCCTTGTGCCGGGACTGTTTTGTAGAATTCCATCGTATGGTGGGTACCATAGGTTCTGGCTAAACTTAACCTGCTACGGTCACCTGTATGGTACTCAAGTTGTTGCTACCGGTATTCTGATATCACGTGCAAGTTGTCTTAACCAAATGTAGTTAGGGTTCCAAATTCTAAACTGGACTGAATGTCTCGACAGGTTATGGGATAGAACTTTCCCCACCTAAATACCGTTTTCGGCCTAGCTCTCACTATTTACAACCCGGAAGCGCACGTCCCTGCAGATTATATGGTCCCGATATCTTGCTTGACGGCCTCATATCTCTTGCCTCTGAATGACCATATTCCCCAATTACCCTGGCTCAGTTCCGAAGGGTCCCCACTGTCGATGGTTAATCAGTCATTCATTACTTAATTCTCGAGAAGAGTGGTATAAACTTACTCATTAATATCCCACCTCATGCTACGGAACTTGTTCTCTCCAGGCTCCAGCAATACATCAAATTCTCCCTTGCACTTATCATGGACCCAATCGACATCACGGTTCATGTCCTCCTCCGTGTATCCTGTACACAGAATTGCACATTTTGTGTCGAGCAATCGTGGAAGGGTGCTCTCCCACTCTGCTGCACTCCCCGGATGACCCAAACCTGGATGGAATAAAACAAACATGTCAAAGTACGGATCATACGGGTTGAATATGCCAGTGTCATGGAGAGTATGGTAATACTCTACGAAGGTCGAGACCTTCATGTTGTGGGACACTCGTTCCACCACTGCACCAAACGGGTTTGCCGGGGTTCGGTCAGGAAGTGGGAGTTCGGCGTCCCGGTTCATCATAGATTGTGGCCCGATGAAGACAAGGTGGAAAGTGGAGAGCGGGAACATGTGAGTGAGTTGATGCCAAACTTCTCGGGGAAGAGAAGACTCTGAGCGAGCACCAAGAATGAACAGGCGGACCGGAGGTGGAGTAACCCGAATTCCTTTAATGTCCTTTCCAGCACCTACGCGGGGTGGATGTAGAGTGTAACGTAGTGCTGCCGTAGATACAGGGTCAGACATAATTACACGCCAAGCGGGGCAAGAAAAGTTCACCGCTAACACTCTTCAGTCCCTCCATAGTCAATCTGTGCCTCATATCGTAAGGGCTCAACTCATGCATAAAGCTCGCGACAGTGATCGGATATGTCAACAACTTCGTAACCTGCCTCAGGGATCTTTCGTCGTTAATAGCTTTATAGTCCCTGGTGTACAACAGAGTATCCCAATTCGTAAAATTGATCAAAGCCTCGTCCATCTGTTCCCCTGGATATTCAAACTCGGGGAAGAACCTCCCACTCCTCAAGTCATGATCATCCTCATTCGCTTCCCTCAGAGCATCACAGATAAGCATATGGTTCTGGTAATCCTCAGCCCAGTGCTCCTCCGAACAATAAGCAGGAATTCCGCAGTCGGGGCAAGTAAACTTGATGTGCGATGGGGAACTCGCAGCTCTATGATGCGGGTGTGGACAATAGGCGGTCCGCTTGATGTTGGCCGCTCGCTCACGCATGGAGGGAGAAGGTGATTCGTCCATGGGGTGAAACAGGTTGTTTGGTTTCAGCAAAACCCTCGTTCCCTCCGAGCGTTCGTAGAGCGAATGATCGCTCGGGGAGGCCGATTCCGATGGGAGTGGAGGGCGAACTTCTCCATCCTTCTCCACGGTCGTCTTGCGGAAGGCCGTGAGGAAGGTTCTTCTCGCTGTAATGGCTGGAAGCGCCCGACGTATGAGTGGGGAGGTGGTGGTGTTGGTGTTATGAAGAAGGAGGAACTTCGAGGGTGCTAGGCATTTTTGGCAAATGTGTGCTCGCATTTTATCGGGAATAGAGGGAGGGTGGTTGTTGTCTCAATTGCGATCAGCGTTGTTTGCTGATAATCATGGGAACTTAGGTAATTGTCTCTATAGTTAAAAAGAACAAGAACGATGCTGTTGTTTGAGCGGAATGATGTAACTCAGTCACTTTGGTGGCTCCATCACGGATAACTTCTTCATCGGAAATGTGCGGGTGAGGGGGCCGGGGATGATGTTACAACTTGGTGTGTTACAAGGCTGTTCCGCTTGGGACTGGAAGCTACCGACGCCTCACGTATTGCCCGTACTGTTCCTCGGACTGTAGCTAAGAAAGGCCAGATGGCGACAAGTTTCTGAACTTGTCTTGAACAACACTCTCTGCACAACGGTACCTCAATACTATCATATTCCCTACTTCTCTCTACAGTACCATCCATTTCATCTCCCCGACCTCTATCCATTCCTCACCCCCCGCCCATCCGTCATATTCTCCCCTCTCTCTTCCCTACGTTCCTTCCATACTTCTCACCTCCCGCCTACTCCCTACCCCACGCCTCCCGCTCTGCTACTCGTTGCCCCTTGCAGGCGCCACGCGAAAACCAAGATGAGCTCTTCCACCGCCGAGGGGTTCAATCCTTCTGAAGCAGACATCCTTCTTATCAAAGTCATGTCTCCAGTCTTCGGCTTTCCACGAGACCTTACCTTCCGAATGCTAGCGACCTCCACCATTAGAGACGTGAAGGACAAAATCACCGGTTCTCTAGATTCGAGACCGCCGTGTGACCAACAGCGTTTAATCTATCGCGGGAAGATGATGCAGGACGAGAGCAGACTGGAAACAGTCCTCGGGCTTAATTCTGGGCTGGTCAGAAGTGTCAGTTCATTATATCCCTCACACCACCGACTATTCCCCTCCCTCTGCTGACCGTATCTACGTAGGACCCAAAGGAGGCGTTTACCTTTCATTTGATGCTTCGGCCTCCACCTAACCCCGCGCCAACCCCTGCGCCCGCGACGACACCCGCAATACAAAGCGCGCTTCCTAATGCTTCCACTTTCCATTCGAGACCTAGGCCCACAACCCCCATATTCGGTGAACAGGCTCCCGAGGAAAGCACTGCCCATGCAGGGCTTGGGGAGCTCACTCGGCCAGGGTTGCCGAGACTAGGAGGATTGCAGCGGCAGCTCCGACAAAGGCAAGAATATATAAATTCGAGACCAGGGCCTGATCAGGGGAGTAGTAGTGAGGTTTCGGCTCCCGGAGCAAGTAGCAATGATCTAGCGGCAGGACCAGAAGCTGATGCCACCATGACCCCAACAAGTACACTCCCGGCGGCGGATACTGGCAGCGGCTCAAGCTCAGGCTCTGCTCTTGGACCTTCATGGGGGTCGCCGAGATCGCATAACGAAGCAGCGGCTCCAAATCAATCAAGGGCCAGACGGAGACATGCTTACGAGCGGCTGCGCGAGAGGCTTTCACGTCATGAGGATGCTACTACAGCAGCCTTCACAAATCTCTCTCCCCCATCAGACCCGCTACCAGTGTTCCACCTACCAGCCAATAACCCACATCCTATTACCACTGCCAGTCCAGTATATCTTCTACAAGATGTGAGCGGTAGACCCAGGGCGCTCCTGCTAGGGCCCCCGACGAGCACAAATCCCACACTAGCCATAAATGGTTTAAGAGGACATTTGGGGCCACCCGGCGCTGGTATCCCCAATCTACAAGTACGTGGGCTCGAGTTGCCCCCTCTTCCGGATCTTGCCAACCTCGGCGCTATTGGGGGTATTGCTGGAAACAACCTTCTTGGTGCAGGGCTGGGGCTTGGAGATCATTTCGGGGGTGCTCACGCTCACCACCGAGTTGGATTCCATGGCGCAGTACTAGAGAGACCTAGGCGGGTGGGACGGCTCAACCTACCCGACTTGATACGCGGAGTTCGAGCCCGTGCATCGCATTTCTGGCTAGCCATAAGATTGACTGTCTTTGTAATTCTGTTCACTGGAAGCGGAGGCTGGAAGAGAATGTTCTACCTTGGCGCAATTGCTGTTGCAGTATTCGGTAAGCAATACATTCCCATATCAATCTCACTCAATTCACTAACCCTCCCAAATAGTCTGGCAAACCGGCGTCCTCGAGCCAATTCTCCGCCCAGTAATCGAGGCCATCAACCCCCCGCCACCACCGCCACCGTCAACACAACCCCCCGCTCCAACCCCTGCCCAACAAGTCCCCAACCAGCCTCAACCGCAAGCCGCCGCCAACCCAAACAATGACAATCCTCCAGGACAAGCCATGGATGCAAACGTGAACCAACCCGACCCGGCCCGAACCGCGCAAATGCTGATCGACCGCCAGCAAGACCGTTTCAGAGACATCTTCCGTGGCATCGAGCGATGCATAATGATCTTCCTGGCAAGTCTCATCCCGGGGCTTCACGAACGGCATGTGAACGCCGTGGAGCAACGGCAACGGGACGAAGCGCAGCGGCAGCAATTACTTCTTCAACAGCAGCACCAGCAGCAGCGAGCTGCTGCTGGTGGTAGTAGTGGCGACACGGAAGTGAACGATGGAGGTGAGGGAGGAGCGGGAGCGGGACAAGTACCCCCTCCAGCACCGCAGCCAGAGCCACAAATGGATGAGGTGGACGTCGATCCCTTGGTAGTCTTGTAGATTTTTTATCTCTATTCTCTCGTGGTGGTTATCCATTTCGTCATTTCGTCATTTCTCCATTTTCCTTACTCTTATCATACCACACCATGCTTTTCTCCCCTTAGTTAGTTCGTCAGTTAGCATAACACATCGCAACCCAACCAACTAACCGCCTTATCAGGTAACTTGACTCGACCACTTTCATCATATATTCGGTGCTTGGCCGGGTCGGTGGGTGTTTTCCAGTCACATACAGCATTCCCCTCCCCTCCCTTCTCTTTTTTTCTTTCTCTCGCCTCGTTAAGCTTGTCGGTTCCTTGGTTCGCTTTGTTGGGTCACTTGGAGGAATTGCCGAGACCGAGAATACAACCTGATCAGATTCTAGAAAACTGAATGCGATACTCGAGTACGTACAGTATTATATGCCACGGCCACATGCGATGGAGGCCGTTTTGGCTTGGTTAAGTCTTGGGCTCTAGTTCCGGGTGGCCCATGATGGGTGTGATGCCGAGTGACCGTGATAAATATAACTCTAGCGAGTAAATCCGATGGGAGGCACGGCACCGGCATTCATGATGCTAAACTTTTTTATTGCACAACTTATTACGTCATGCGTACACACATCCCGTCAAGACTTTGGGCAAGGTAGGAAAATGACTTAGGTAAGAGTATCATAGTGAATTAGAGAAGGGGAAATTTAAAAGATATGACCGGAACGTGATTTGAACACGCAACCTTCTGATCTGGAGTCAGACGCGCTACCGTTGCGCCATCCAGCCAGCTGTTGGACTTTACGACGCTAATTATTTACTTATTGGGTCGAAGGTGGTAGGTTCGTGAGGTAGCATAATATGAAATCGGTTTGGGGGTTTGAATGGATGGGGGAATCATGGAAAGTCCCGGCGGGGTTTGGGTCTTTTGCCGGGACCACAATGCAGCAGTGGCGGTATTGGGGTTATCGGTGAACTAATTATTACAGAGTAATTATTTTGTCCTTACTAGATATCACTCGTAATGATCTTAGATGATGCTCCGGATAGCCCTAAAGCAGCATCTTGAAGCCATAAACAGACTCTTGGAGCCAGGTTTGGCTCTGTGACTAGACGTTCCGTATCCCCTCAGGAGACATCTTTGCACCAAGTAGAAGAACCTCACAAACCCCACAAAGGGTAGCTTTTCACACACCAAGCCAACTTAAAATACCTGAAGCCAATATAGCCTATGATGCTTCAGACTCAGACACCAGCAAGATTCCACTAACTCCAATACTGGGTAATCTTTCTTCACAAAGCTAGCATAATCTAAAAAAAAAAAAGTGTATTTTTCACTAAGTTAGGCACCCCTGCAAAACCCATAAAACTTGTATTACTATTTTTACATCAAGCATGAGCATCTTATTGTTAAGCTATTGTACAGCAGAAGAAGAAGAGAAGTATCGTTCCCTGTCGCCAAGAACTAACTATCCGAAGGGGGATCATTATACTGCTATTATTTCCCAGTACCTCTAAACATGCCAAGTCGAAAATGGACCCCCATTGAGATTGCTTATTTATACTTTTACTTATTACATAGGTATCCTATGTGGGGATTGCTAGGCTGCTAGTCCTCAATGCTGCAAGAGAAGAACTATCTTGTACTTATAATGGAGTATGCTGCAAAGTGAGAAAGCTTTGAAAGAAATTTGGGCTTGGTGATAATAAGGGTAGAATTGATAAGGAAAAGGTGAAAAACTAACTCTTTGTTCACCTATCTGAAAATAAACTTGTTCACCTAGGCCTATAGCTTGGGATTTCTGCCGAGGAGTTAGCTATTTATTGTGATTTCATTGTATGTGTAGTAGAGCTCATGTCACGAATGTGGCTTGGCACAGAAAGGGTTTTCACATGACTCATGATTATGAGTCATAGGTATGTTATTGTTTCACGCATAGGACTCATTTAGGTCATATGACTTATTAAGTTATGATTTGTTATGTTTCATACATGACCCGATTATGAGTCCTGAAACATGTGCCTGGCGAGTATGCCTTGCGAGTATGTCTTGCGAATATGCCTTGTGCACATGATTTATGTTTTGCACATGACCTCGCTATGAGGTCATGGGTTTTACACATATGACTTGTTTATTGTGTTATGATTGGTTTATGAGTTTTCACACATGACCTTGCTATGAGGTCATGGGTTTTAAGCGTGTGACCACTTTGGTCACATGACTAGTTTGTTATGATTTGGTTTCACACATGTGACTACTTTGGATCACATGACTATAGACGGGAAGAATACTATATAAGGAGGCCAATGCAGCTGAGGAGAATAGGTTCTTCATGCTACATTCTAAGTACTTTTCCTCATCCTTGCTGTCGCTTCGCCCCGAGCGATTCTTTTGCACCTACAGTGGGCCTTGATGCCTTGGATTCTGGGGGAGATATCTGAGTTCGCTTAGTAGTTCCTGGGGTTCTTGGTGTTGAGATCTGTTGGCATTGCATGGCAGATTACTTGTTCGCTTCTCGTTTTGTCGCCTGATGGCTTCTCACAATGCTGTCACTTCGAGCTCTTCAACACGGTCGCTTACGAGCCCCTTTCTGTAAAATGTCTTCGGCTTCCTGTCTATCATCTACTCGCAGGTTTCGCGTTTGATTGGGGAGGATTGAACTTTGTGTTTGGGGGGATCATCCATGTTATTCTTTGGGCCAGCTCATGCTTCTTGTTGGGTTTTAACGGAGTCCTTAGTTCTCACGATACAAAGCGCCCTTGGGTTAGACTGATGACCTTCCGAAGTATCAACAGGTTGTACTGGCCGCATCATTCCTCAGGTGGCAGGGCGGTGCCCACCCAGCCCCTCCTTGTTACGTTTTTGTTTCTATGGTCGGAATCCTACGATGTTGTTTATCACCGTTCCCTTGGAAATTTTGTCCTTGCAGAATATACGGTGGTTCAGCCAGGTGTCTCCTCCTCGCTACGGTGGGGATGGCTTTGACCCTGAAAAATATTACCCCCTAGTGTGGTTTTACATTGCTACTTGAGGTGGTGTGAGACGATTGACTGCCAGACACTTGCGTTGTCTGTGCGTTTGAGTGGTTTGGTTGTGGTCCATAGTTGGTGGCTTCACCCATTGGAAGTAGGGCCTACCTTCTGTTTGTCTGCTTCTGTTCGTTCGCCCTCCCCCTTCTTGTCGCGTCAGTTGGGGATGCCTCTTGCCCGTTGTTCGGTCCGTACCTGTTGCCGGACCTCTGGGGCTGGCTTTGGCTGGCTCTGCTTACTTTTTTCCCAACTCCGTTGGACTTCGGTTCAGCTGGGTTGGACGGTGTGGCTGGTGCCTATGTCTTTAGGTGTTGGTGCTACCTTCTTTGTGGCTCCCGGCTGTGGCTGGTGGTCCCCTCTCGCCTATACAGTGTTGAGCGTTAGGGCTCTGTTCGTATGGCCAAGATTAATGGCTGCCTAATGGAGCTGGGTAGAGGCTGTCCTGGGGCTATTGGATGGTTAATCTGTCTGAAGGGCTGGGGGGCTGGATGGGCTCTGCGGCGTCTGGTGTGTGGGGCTTGGGGGGGGCTGATTGGGAGGGGAGAGGTACCTGCGAGCACCGGTCAGGCCTGCGTCAGGTTGGTCGAGGTCTAATTAAGTGTTTCCAGTCTGGCTTGAGCTATTGGGCGAAGCTGCTAAGTGCTGTAAAGCTCCCCGATGGACTGGTTGGCTGATGGCCACCTGTGCGAATAGTGGGTTGCGACCACCTGGTTGGACTTGTTTGGATCTTTTGTGTTGGGTTTCGTGGGGTTTGTTTGGTTTCTTTAGTTTGGTTCTGGGTATGGCAGGAGGAGACAAGGCACTATGGGTGGGAGATAGGCCCCACTGACCTTTACGGTCTGTCACCACCTCTATGTATTTCCTTTGTTTATAATGTTTTTGTTTGGGGGACAGGCAGTAGGTACAGGTCCTCCTCACCGGTAGGCTCCTCAGAGGCAACCAGCAAAGTCGGTTTAAAGGGTTGATGGCCTGGCATGTGGGTGCGAGAGGTGGACATGTTGGTTACCTCCTTCCTGCCAATATGTCTCCTGTAGGTTTAGTTTGTGTATTTTGTTTGGTTTTCTATTGTGGTAGAGGTATTACATGACAGTATTTAGACTGGGTGGTAGTGATATTTTGATTGTTAGACGAGAAACCTGGTCAGGTCAGTCTTTTGCTCGGCTTTGACTACACTTAGTACTGGTTGGCTTCATATCAGAGGGGCTATAGACTTGGACTGGGGTGGGCACTGGGTTGTTTGATGGTTTTGTAATTAGTTCTCGTATAGGCATGACTTGGAGATGGTAGGTGCGGGGCTGTAGACTTAGCTAGCTTAAGATTAGTAGTATACCGGTTAGTGGTATCCCTGTACCAGAGGGGGCTTATCATATACCAGTGTTGGTGGTACGAGTTTAAATAAAATTAGATTGAATTCTAAGTACTTTTCCTACTTATTACTTTAATCAATATAAAACACCTTTATGATCTTTATCCTTATTGCAAAGTTATCATTACACCAAGAAAAGCTCTTCACAAAGAAGAGTTAGAGAAAGCTTACAATAGGCATTCCCAATAGAAGACAAAGGTCTTGTACTATTGGTAACGTAGGTAGAGGCCTAGTGCTATGGTGAGATTAAGGAAATAAACCAAAGAAGAAGAGAGGTATTGTTCCCTGTCGCCAAGAACTAACCATCTGAGGAGGGATCGTTACAGCTCGCTGGAGTTGGCGATTGTTAACTGCCGAGTCAAAAAATCATGGAAACGAGTCTAATGGAAGAGATATGAGGTGAAATAGAAATAAGAATAATACAGTCATGCCTGCACACTAACGAATTATTGCTAACAGAGTTACAGAGACCTTCGGGCTGTGGTGAGAGGATAGAAAATATTTCATAATATATGCTTAGCTTCAAGCCAAGTGGGTAGGAGTAAATATATTATAATATTATCAAGAGAGGAAATTTGTTATTTACCGAATGAAAACCGAGGTTAATAGTGGGTCTAATGTGGTTTGTACTGTAGCTTTTAAGGAAAAAAATAATAGGTAGAAATATCTAAGGCCATTTCTCCCTGTACTCCATGAGCAGACAGTCATTGAGGACTTTGTAATGCCTGGTATCAAAATCTTTCAAAGATTAACAAAAAGATAAAGAATGGAGGAGAAATCAATTTAGAAAAAACTCAATTCTGTACATTATCATAACTGACAAGCTGCTTCAAACTCGGTATAGCCTAAAGAGTTCTAATCCTCCCCCCTTAGTTCAACTCTCTCCAGTACCCTAGCTTAGAAAACAGGTTTAGCACAAGAAGTTGCCAAGACTGCTTCTAGATTCCTACAGGGAAGTTCTCCAATGTTACTGACTGGCCTCACAATTGCAGGAATTTATAAGTGTGGTGACATCCATACAGGCCACAGCTCATTAGTGAAAAGAAACAAACCTAATACAGGCTGTATTTCAAAATGGAAGAAGATTATTTCTTACTTGATAGCCTCACTCCATAATCCTCTAATAAAAGTATTAAGAGCTCTTGCAAAGCTCATGAAGAAGAATAAGCACAACCTCACCCTTCTCCTGAAAGCCAAGTAGAAAAATCTATTCAAGTATGCAAAGCCTCAAAAAAGAGGTAAAGTAAAGAGTAACAGTGAACTATAATAGCTCTACAAATACTAATGTTTACAAAGTGATCTGAAGAAAAGTCA